TCGAGTCAACTCTTTGCTTGATTTTTGCACGTTGTGAATAGTCTCGCATTATCAAATGAGCTCTAACTCCTTGTTTGATGTTATTCAAACTGGAGTAAAATTTGCAAATAATATTGTCATGACTTTAAAATTCAGCAATGGATTTTAAAGCATTAAACATTTTAAATTGGAATGCTCGATCTCTTAAAGATAATGAAGACGAGCTATTTAACTTTTTGAGAGTTCATAACGTGCATATTGCCGTTATAACTGAAACGTTCCTTAAACCTGACCATAAGGTTAAGAAGGACTCAAATTATTTCATATATAGAAATGATCGTCTCGATGGACCCTGTGGTGGCGTTGCCATCATTGTTCATAGACGAATCAAACATAAAATTCTTTCTTCATTTGAAACCAAAGTTTTTGAAACTTTGGGAGTTTCTGTGGAAACAAAAAAATTGGACAACTTACGTTTATAGCTGCCTATTTGCCATTCCAATGCGTAGGCCAGCAAAAGAATTTTCTCAAGGGTGACCTCCAGAAACTTACCCGTCATAGGTCTAAATTCTTCATTATTGGTGATTTTAATGCAAAACACCGCTCATGGAATAATGCTCAAAGCAATTCCAATGGTAATCTTCTATTTGATGGTTGTTCTGCAAGTTATTACACTATTCAATATCCAAACAGCCCAACATGCTTTTCTTCTGCAAGAAATCCCTCCACTATTGATTTGGTCTTAACTGATTCATGTCAACTTTGTAGCCAATTGGTTACCCATGCTGACTTCGGTACTGATCACCTTCCAGTAACTTTTGAAATATCCCAAGAAATAGTTTGTAATCCCAACAGCTCTACTTTCAATTACCATAGAGCTGATTGGGAGCAATATCGAACATTTATGGAATATAACTTCGATCCAAACATTCCTTTGCAAACCAAAGATGAAATTAATTATGCTCTTGAATCTCTGACTGCTTCTATAGTTGAAGCAAGAGCTGCCTCAATACCAAAATGCGAGGTTAAATTCGATTCAATTATAATAGACGATGATCTTCAGCTATTGATCCGTCTTAAAAATGTCCGTAGGAGACCATTTCAAAGAACACGCGATCCTGCCATGAAAGTTATCTGGCGGGATTTGCAAAAACAAATTAAAAAACGATTCTCTGCCCTGAGGAACAAAACTTTTGAAAATAATGTTTCTAAATTAGACCCGAGTTCCAAACCCTTTTGGAAACTTACAAAAATTTTGAAAAAAACCTCAAAAACCAATTCCAGCGCTTAAAGAAGGTGGTAAAATTTTGATCGCAAATTTGGAAAAGCTCAGAAACTTGCTAAGCAATTCGAGAGTTCCCATAATTTCAGTTTGGGTCTTACTAGTCCTATTGAGAATCAGGTTGCTGGGGATTTTCTGAATATTTTCTCTCGGGAAAATATTTTTGATGATTCCTGGGGGACTGATTTGGACGAAGTAAGGTCTATAACTAAAAAGTTTCAAAATATGAAAGCTCCAGGTGATGATGGAATTTTCTATATCCTCATCAAAAAACTCCCAGAGAGTACCTTGTCTTTCTTGGTAAAATTATTTAACAGATGTTTCCATTTGGCATACTTTCCTGATAAATGGAAAAATGCAAAAATTGTTCCAATTTTGAAGCCGGATAAAAATCCAGCTGAAGCTTCTAGCTACCGTCCAATAAGTTTGCTTTCTTCAATAAGCAAACTTTTTGAAAAGATAATTTTGAATAGAATGATGCTTCACATCAATACAAACTCAATTTTTGCAGATGAGCAGTTTGGATTTCGACATGGGCATTCAACTACTCATCAACTCTTAAGAGTTACCAATTTAATTCGTTCAAACAAATCGGAAGGCCACTCAACTGGAGTTGCTCTTCTAAAGGGTGTCCACGATGAAATTGCCACACTATGAAATTGCTCTAACTTTTTAACCGTTGGGTAGAATTTAATGAAAATTTGGGTGGATTTAGTTCATAGTGCATTATTTACATCCTGCAAGTTTTAAAGTCCTGTGATCAAAACTCGCGGAAATGGAGTCGAAAGAACAGCTCGTGCGTGATAAAATCTTGCGCATTCATCACGAGAACAAGGATCTCTCGCATCGTTCCATCGCTAAAACGTTGGGAATCGCGAATTCCACGGTGTCGCGAGTGATTAAGCGGTTCGAGGAACGTTTGACCACCGATCGGAAGCCCAGAAGTGAAGGAAAAAGTATTCCGTACAACACCAAAAATCACAACCGCGTAGTTGGGGCCTTCAACCGAAATCCGAACGCCTCCGTTAGGGATGTGGCTAAGAAGCTGCACCTAAGCCGAAGTTTTGTCCAGAAGGCCAAAACTAAGGCTGGGCTTCGAACGTTCAAGGTACAAAAGGCCCCTAATCGTGACGAGAAGCAGAACAAGTCCGCCAAAACCCGTGCCAGGAAGTTGTACCTCAACATGCTGACGAAAGTTGAATGCTGCATCATGGACGACGGAACATATGTGAAGGCCGATTTCAAACAGATCCCCGGCAACCTGTTTTTCACGGCCAAGGATAAGTTCAGCGTTCCGGAGCATGTCCGCACTCAGAAGATGTCCAAATTTGCGAAGAAATTCCTGGTTTGGCAAGCCATCTGCACGTGCGGGAAGCGGAGTGCACCTTTCGTGACCCAGGACACGATGAACGGACAGGTGTACATAAAAGAGTGCCTCCAGAAGCGGCTGCTTCCTCTCCTGAAGGCCCACAACGTCCCAACAATCTTCTGGCCGGATTTGGCCTCATGCCACTACTCCAAGGACGTGCTGAAGTGGTATGCGGACAATAAGGTCAATTTCGTGCCGAAAATGTTCAACCCTCCCAACACTCCGGAGCTCCGCCCATCGAGAAGTACTGGGCGATTATGAAGCAGCACCTTCTTAAACGACCTAAGGTAGTGAAGACAGTCGAGGAACTGAAGAAAGTATGGGTTTACATGCAAAAAAACGGTTGATTCACAGGTTGTGCAGAATCTTATGGCCGGGGTTAAGGCCAAGGTGCGGGCATTTGCGTATGGACTGTAAATAAAATACGAGTAAAATGATAAAATGAAGTTTAATAGTTATTTCTCAATCCCTGAAAATTTGATGGCAATCGGATGAAAACTCGAATTTTGCGAATCAATTTTGTGTGTGGCAATTTCATCGTGGACACCCTTTAGACATAGAAAAAAGCATTCGACAGTGTTTGGCATGAAGGTTTGATTGCTAAATTGAAAAAGTTTAATTTTCCACTTTATATTATGAAATTAGTTCAAAATTATTTAACTGACAGAACTCTGCAGGTAAATTATCAAAATTCCAAATCTAATCGACTACCTGTTAGAGCAGGAGTTCCTCAGGGTAGCATTCTTGGGCCTATATTGTATAACATTTTCACTTCGGACCTCCCTGATTTGCCTCAGGGTTGCCACAAATCTTTGTTCTCTGATGACACAGGCATTTCCGCTAAAGGAAGAAGTCTTCGTGTTATCTGCAGCAGACTGCCGAAAAGTTTAGATATTTTCTCTTCTTATTTACAAAAATGGAAGATTTCTCCCAACGCTTCCAAAACTCAACTTATAATATTTCCACATAAGCCCAGAGCTTCCTTTTTGAAACCTAGTAGTAGTCACATAGTCACTATGAACGGAGTTCCAATTTCCTGGTCAAACCAAGTGAAATATCTTGGATTAGTTCTTGACCCAAAATTAACTTTTAAAGATCACATTGAGGGCATTCAAGCCAAATGTAACAAATATATAAAATGTTTGTATCCTCTTATAAACAGGAAATCCAAACTTTGCCTGACGAATAAAGATCTAATATTTAAACAAGTTTTTAGACCGGCCATGCTTTACGCTGTGCCAATATGGTCTTGTTGTTGCACTACCAGGAAAAAAGCACTTCAAAGTATTCAGAACAATGTTCTGAAGATGATTTTGAAGTTGCCTCCCTGGTACAGTACTACCGAAGTACATAGAATTTCGAATGTTGAGACTTTAGAACAAATGTCCAACAAAATAATTAATAATTTTAGGCAAAAATCGTTGCAATCCTCAATTGCAACGATTAATTCTCTTTATACATAGATAAGATTTAGTTTTAGTTTTTAGTTTTAAGATATCAATTGTTATACTGACATGCAGGTTTAAAAAACCTGTTTAAAATACTGAATTGCCAAGACAGGAACAATGTAAAAACACTTAGCTATATATCATAACAATTAAGGCTGGTAAGTTACTGCAGTAACTGGAGCACCTAGGTTAAAAATGACATGTAATTTATTTTAAATTTGGAACAAATAAAGAGTTAAAAAAAAATCAAATGAGCTTGTAAAATCATGCATGATATTTTGTTCACGCGTGATATTGAGAGCATGTGAGAGCGGAAAAATATCATTTGATTGAGGATTTTGCCAACACTGACCTGGATATATATACCAACAAACAAAAGTTATAAATAATCTTTTGAAATTCAAAAGACTGCTTTATGACATTTAGTCACAATAAATCGGTATGAATTCCATTGATTTCCCTTATTGCCATTGAGTTAGCTTAATATATAGTTTATAAAGAAAATAATAAGATGTAGCAGTTCGGAATCGAACCATGAACGGTATATGTTACAAATAGCAAGGGAAAACTGCCAAACGGGTTGTCCCAATGCTAGTGGTTAACTTTAAATTCGTTTTCTCAAAATCAAAAAAAAAACACTCTGTTCGGTCTGACTTAACACCAAATAAAAAGTAATATGAAGATGCAATAAACATTAGATACAATACAAATGGTCTACAATAATCTCAACCCAATTCAAAATTCTGGACCTGACTGGACCCGCTCCACATCGAAACACAGTCATCTTGGTTGGAGGAACCACACATACTGCTATCAAGTTATAACTTTTCCATATAGGCCATCACATTTCATATCACACAGAGAACAATATCTCGCGACAATCACCGCTCGGTCGTTAGTTATGATTTGAATCTCAGTCTCACCGTAGGTATAAGCGTATAGAAGCGAGCCGCGCGATCAGTTGAGCATGATAATTATTAGTGATAACATGTGATCGTCGGTTATGGTCGTGTGTCGTTTTCGTGGAAAATTGTAGATACACTTACAACCAACGAAGGATTTACATTCAACTAGACATTTCAAATTGATTTCCCACATTCGAATAACCTTTCAAGCTATGGAAGATCCAAAATTGAAACGACCGGAAATCGTTAGCGACGATTCGTTGGTACTATACAGCAATCAGTATAGCTATTATTGCCAAAAGGTAAGTCTTCCTAGGTCCCGCGGTATCTGAGTCATATATGGTCACGAGGTCACTCCCAGTGTTGTATAGCGATAAAATCTGATGTAATTACTAATCCAAACAAACTGCAACCGGCAATGGTTGAGTCGTGTGTGGGAGTCAAGTCAACACGGGTGGCCATGTTTGAAATGGAACAAAGTGATTCGGTGTGGAAATGGTGTTTTCCACTCGTTGGTTAGAACGAACCTAGGTACTTAGGAAACATTTGAACGAGTTGTGTGTGACCTTGATCATCAACATTAGGGTAATTCACATCTAAGTGATAAATTCGAAACAGGATTGAATTGCGTTCTGTCAAATAAAAGATAGTAATTTCAAGCGTAATGATAATTTTGCGTGCAAAACAAATTACAACGAACTGTTGCGTACAAGCAAAGTTTTTCCATATTCAATTGGTTTGTTCCCGTACTTGTTTTTTTTTGCTTTTGTTGTAAGTAGCTGGAAAAAATAATACAGGAATCTACGATTTCTGCGGTAGGTGGTGCGTGTACCCATGGCGATTTTTGTATGTGATTAGGGCCAACCTCGAACTTGATGAAAAGTCAGCTCAATTGGTTGAAAGACTGTTGAGAAATGGCGGTGGGTACACGGCACAACCCACCGCGGAAATCGGTGATTCATGTATTATTGTCTTACAGCAACTTACAGAAACGGCGCCGGTGGTGTAGTGGTAAGCGTGATTACCTCTCACCCCAGCAGGCCTGGGTTCAATCCCAGTCGGCGCCGCCGGTATGTTCTGAGGCATAACATCTCTGATCACGCCTTCCTTCGGATGGGAAGTAAAGCCGTTGGTCCCCGGTTCATGCGTTGATGGGTCGATAGGTGTAGGGTCCAAGTGTGGGAGCTGCCTTCCTGGCACGTCGGTAGCATTGGTGCTCAGCACGGAAAACAAGATCGACGGAAAAAAACAAACCAAAGGAAAAAAAAAAGCAACTTACAGCAAAAGCAAATAAGCAAGTAGGGGATCAAACCTAATGTTTTCGTACAGAACCTTCACAAGATGATTATTTAGCCCCAGTGTATTAATGGAGACAAATTTGGTTCAAAATGCTAGCATACATAAATTCTAAAAATTTTTAAAAAAGTAATACAATCTTACATTTCTTCCTGGTTGGATGGGATGTATTTTTGGCTACACATTAGCCTGCCCCACAAAAATAAAAGTTCTAATTTTCCACGGGCCAACCCCTAGATTTGTACCATAAGATGAGAAAGCCACTCTCTGAAAATTTCAGCTCATTCTGATGTAACACGAGCTGGCGCTTTTAGTTTGAATTTTGTATGGGGAATTTGGATAAAATACATGAAAAATTACACTCCTATACCAACAATCAATACGAAACTAACGATTTTAAATTGGCTCACTACTTGACTAGCCTGACTAGCCTTGGTCCCAAGCAAATCGATTACGTACCCCATTCTTGTCAAAATTCTAGCACTACACTATGTTTGTTTTGATTCGCTATGAAAGTTTGACAGATAAAATGAGGGGTTAGTGGATAATTCTATGTTTCGAGGGGTGAACCGAATAGCTTGGGACCGACGAGAGTACCAGAGCTGAGCCAAAAAGTTGAGCACGTTTCTTCGGGACCTACTAGTCTTAGAGTTACCTCTATGCCTATACTCTATCGATCATAAAAAAGTTTCTTTATTCTAGATTTGATTTAGATTTTCAAAACATGTATTTCAATAAATGAGTAACAACTTTGCTGAAGATTGTAGCATAAATCCAGTTAGTTTTATTGAGATATTCACATTTCAATGTAAATGAGCATTTTGTATAAAGCCCGATTCAAAGTAAATTTGGACGCATTCAAGTGATCATAACGCAATTATTAAATAACATACACGGTTGATCAAAACGTCAAACAAAAGGGTGTTTATTCAGCTTTCTAACGATACATAACAAGTTATTACATTTCACCGTTTCGAACGAACTGTTGCATTTTACTTGTGATCGATGCCATCATGATGTGCACAGTCGCTGGTGACACTGTACCGGCGAAATAATTCCACTTTAAACGCATTTGTTGTGCATTTATCACTTCTTTACCGCATCCTCGAAGTTTTCGCTTGACAATTGCTCAATATTTTTCGAACGGTCTGAACTCAGGGCAATTCGGAGAATTAATCTCTTTGGCGACGAAATAAACATTGTTTACAGCATACCATTCTAGTACCTCTTTAGAGTAGTGGCAGCTGGCTAGATCCGGCCAAAACATAACGTTGGTTTTATGTTATCGAATGAAGGGTAAAATCCGCTTTTTCAGACACTCTTTAATGTAAACCTTCGACGTCATTCTGTGAGATGTGATGAAAACCTTGGTTTTAAGGCCACAACTGCAGATTCCTTGCCAAATCATTAGTTTCCGAGCAAACTTATCAGTAAAAACAAATGTATACCTGGAAGGGACATCCCCACGACCAGTTGCCATGTAAAATTTTAGTCCGGGGATTTGTGTATAATCCATTTTGACATATGTTTCGTCATCCATTAAAATACAGCCATCAAATTTCGTCAAAACTCGTTCGTATAGTAATCGTGCTCGCTTTTTGGCTACTAAATTTTGTTTCAGGGAGCGATTCGGATGTTTACTGGCACAAAAAGACTTATATCCTTCTCTTGAAAGGATGTTACGGACGGTGGAAAAGTTGGAATCGTACTTCTTTGCTAAATCACGTATGGAGACACCTGGGTTGCTTTTCACGTACCTCAACACCTAACTCCTCAGCTCTTTGTCCTAGTGCCACTTTTATGATAGATGCGCTGTGCTCTATCCACACTCAGAGTATCCTTGTATCGAGTATCGTTTGATTACAAGACTCACCGTTGACTTTGGGAATTTTAACACTTTTGCTATTTTTGAGGCAGACCACGAAGGGTTCTCTAGATGTTTGTGCACAATTAATTTTCTTTTTCTCATGTTCCATGATCGGTAATTCCGGGATGCGTCGATCAATCGAGAAAAACTTTTCACCAATTCCTTCGTTAATGAAACATCAACAAATGCCTGTCAAACGTTTTTTGTTCCAACCACCAGGGGCGCGGTGGTGTATTAAACCGTGCATCCAGATTTACTTTGAATCGAGCTTTATGAAAATTTCAACCAATCTCCTATATGGACATTAAACCAAAAGCGTCAGCCCGTGTAACGTCAAAAAGAGCTGAAATATTCGTGGTTATCGCCGAGGGGGGCGAATCTCACACTAGCAATCAATCTTCGAAAAATCATCTTTAATTTCTCGCATCTACTTGCATCGTGCTTCATCTTTTTGCATGAAATATTCAAAATCGACATAAATCTTCCTTCTATCTACTCAGCGCACGTGCAGCTAGCCACAGCAAAACACAATCTTTTCTGCATCGTAGATAGAGTCGTCCCCCTCGGTTATCGCACCAAAAGACACGAGCCTGGATGTTGGCCGGTGGAAAATACCCAACAAACATTGCAAGCTGAGTAACAGCAACAATCAATACGAAACTAACGATTTTAAATTGGCTCACCACTTTAATAGCCTATTGGTCCCAAGCAAACGATTAACGTACCCTATTCTAGTTGAAATTCTATTACTACACTATGTTTGTTTTGATTCGCTATGAAAGTTTGACAGATAACATCAGGGGTGTGTGGATTCATGCAGAACATGCAGGGGTGAGTGAAATAGCTTGGGACTGCTTGGGACCGTTGTTCTGGTACTGAGTGAGCCAAAAATAATAATGATTTTCTTCGGGACCCAGTGGTCTTAGAGTTACCTCTATGGTAACAGCCTATTCAGGCAAAAATATGCTTCTTAAGCTAAAAAAATAGCTTATTCAGCTCAAATTGTTTGTTGGGTATGAACGTTTATTTTTAGTGGTAATTTAGTTGATACGTCGCATAATCTGCCTGTATTTTGTTGCAATCTACGAGCAGAATGCACATAATAATTTAATATCCCCATAATACTAACTTGAATCAATAATCAATACGAAACTAACGATTTTAAATTGGCTCACTACTTGAGTAGCCTATTGGTTCCAAGCAAACGATTAACGTACCCTATTCTAGTCGAAATTCTAGTACTACGCAATGTTTGTTTTGATTCGCTATGTAAGTTTGACAGATAAAATGAGGGGCTATTGGTTTTTCCTATGTTTCGAGGGGTGAATCCATTAGCTTGGGACCGAAGATAGTACCAGAGCTGAGCCAAAAAGTTGAGCTCGTTTCTTCGGGACTTTCTGGTCTTAGAGTTACCTCTATGGTTTAAGCTACGTGTGCTGAAATTCTAAGCTTGATCGAGTTTTCTGAACCAGTTCTAAGTACGAAAGAATGAAGGAATATTATTTCTCTATACATTTCAACAAATATCGCCACATAAATTTGAAATCACACGCAGAAAAATTTACCGTCGAAACAAAAATATTTCAGGTAAATTTAAACGTAAACTCAGTTTGTTCTGGCCACAAACCTAAACCACAAACGAAGTGACAGACGGAGCGGCTCGAAAACTTTGGTGACTAACCTGCTATTTCAATTTTTCAGTGTACCACATGGCAACACCACTACTACTGGATTGTACCACATGGCAACACTACTACTGGATTGTACTAGCATTTTCACCAAATGTATTAGAATGTTTTGGTTCTATCTCTTTCACTCTATTCAAAACTGAAATGCATAAAAAAATGACAAAATGATACGCACTCTTTGCACACTGTCAAAGAATCATTGTACACAAAATCAACTTTGTTCAAATCAAAACAAAAAAACTAACCCATCTGGTGGATGATGGCACAAGCTTCCAAGAAAATTCTATTACAGTGAACCACATTATTTAAATTGATTTCTTCGCCAGTTAGTCGTCTGTCACTTCGTTTGTGCCTAAACTAGGTTGATTTCAAACGTATTCTATGTTTAAATCCATTGATAATAATGTTTAAAACAAAAATAATGTTACGTTTGTTTTAAAAATATTGAATA